TATGATTAACTGCTTCTGAATGTCACGTGTTCCACTGAGAATTTTTGATATAGTATTTCTTCTTTATTTACATTCAGATTTTAAACTTCAAAGTCGTTTTGTATGTAGCACGACAAATACAAGATAAAAATTAGAAAGAAATATTCTAAATTGTAAATCTTTTATAATAAAATTCATTCTTGTTACTATTGGATACAAGTGGAATTGTCCGATTAACAATTACACTACTTAGAATAATATAGAAGTTATTTTTAAGAGTTACCTGTTCTATTTTATCTTCATTAAATACACACGATAATGTCACATCTTGTCCGACATCGGCACGTATGATCAAATCATCGTCATCATTATTATTATTATTATTATTATATGAATTATTAAATGACATAGTTATCCGAAAGAAGACAATAATAAGTAATAGAAAAGTATTTAAATTAGGACTATTGATAGATAAAATATTTGATGACAACATTTTTCACAGGTAATGATGTTAACAATATCGATAAGTCTATGTAAAACGGATAAAAATATTGAGTGGATCAAATTTCAATAATCATAAAAAATTTTTATTGATTAACAACAATTACGTTCGATACGCTATAATATTTTCACACATCAATCGATTGAAAAAACAAGAACAAGATGAAGATGATGAAAAATTGTGTATATACGTCTAATGAATTTTTCAGTTTTTGATTGATGCTTGTTCAAACCGAAGAATAAGAAAAAAAAGAAGGGAGAAAGAAACAAACATATCTCTATTTCTCGTTCCCGCTAGAATAATATCTGAATACGATACAAAAGAACAAGAAGAAGAAAAAAAAAATATTCACTATTGTTGCTGATGGTTTTATTTTTTTCTATACATATTTTATTAATTATCTGCTCTTTTCTTTCGAAAAAGGAAAATGACCAAGCGTAGCAAGACTACGGTACTATAGCCAGAGAAGCATGTAATCAACGTTTTGATATGTATAGCCACATAATCTTTCTATCATCTTCTTTCAATATGAATCATCTTTTTAAAGAAAAAGGTGATGTTATGATGATAGAAGACGTTTTTTTGAAGAAAAGCATACTTATTTGGCCAATAAGTGAAAACTTTCGATATACAACAAAATCTATCACTTTGTAAAATTGTTCGTTAGTAGAGAGAGTATTATCGAAAGAAGATTGCATTTTGATTGATGAATTTTAACAAGACAGTCGGCTTCGAGTTGTATAATATCTGATAACAATAGTGTCATGTCTCCATCTTACTGAAATTGAGTCAAAATTAATAACGAATGTTCATTTACTTTTTCTTTTAGTGTTTTTACATATAGGTAAAATAGTCAAATAGCCGGAAGGATATTGGCACATAAGTTATAAGAATGTTGAATGACACACTTATGTTGAATTGAATAGTGTATAGTTTATTCATTCTATACTTTGATAGTCTACAATTATTTTGACCCTTTGGCTTGAAAGTGTGCCGTATACGGATACTCATTAGCCTTCGTTCTAATTACTAAAATAATATTCAGACGGACATACATACAATGATAAAAAATATTGAACATTCACGCACACACACACACACATATATATCTTTATTCTAAATCGATTTTTGATGTCTTTATTGAAGGATTTATCGATGAAAGTCTGACTTTTCTTTTTAACATCGGTCCTAAATGTAACGAAATGTGTTTCTCTATAGTAGTTCTCTATAGTAGACAAAGAACATCAGATTGTAAGAAACAATTAATGCAAGTATTTCCAGGAACTAATTTTTTGCTACCTTGAAGTTCAGTGAGAAGACCTGATAGGCGTTAAATCTAAGAAAGTCTCTCTCACTCTCTCTCTCTCTCGTAGACACGGAAATGTTACATAAATAGCTTTGAGTTAAAATTTCGTAACAAGAACGTATTGAACATATTATTTTTCTCGCCAATGTAAAAGTGTAATTAAGATAACAGAGCAGTATCATGTCTGAAGTGCAATTTGTTTTTTCATACTATTATAAGTTAGACCTTCGTTCAGTATTGAATAAAAAAAAGAAAAGGAGAGTTATACATTCTGTTTAAATGTTTCTTTTATGCCTTCGATTAAGATTAGTCTATAAGGAAAAGATGACATATTTTTTAGGCCTTGAGTTTGTCCGAATAGTCTCATTTATCTGTGTTATTTTTAAACAACATTATAGTGGTTTTTTCTTCTAATAGAATTTACAACTTTTTTCTTCGTTTCTTTCATACGCATTTTCTTACTATCTACTTTTTTTTGAGAATATTCTCAAGAAAATCCCCGGACAATAATCGTCAAGAAAATAATGTACATAATGGATTTATCAAGGCCTTTTAGACTATTGAATTGTACATTCATAGAATGTTTTATTACATCTATTGCTGAAAGATTTTCAAGTCTAACAACAGATTTTTTGCCAATGACTAAACCATTTTCAAGCGTAGAAACTTAATAATGTTCAGGTAGCTTCGTATGAAGTCAGAATTTTGAGTCCGATCCAGTTCTTAAGGAGCTTTGATAGATGCCAATGACTTTTAGCTATCTACCGATGTAAAAACTGTCTGAAAATTTATTACCGGTTATTAGTGTCATTCGATTTCTAGTTCGTTGCCATTAACTGGTTATAATTAATCCAGTCTACTCTATGGGATCCAACATAAAAATAAATCTATATCTGCTCAATTTTGTTCAACTTCGCAAACTAGAAATATTGCCGATCATTAATCCATTGTACATAGAATATTGAATATTTGATTGAGAGAAGTATTCTATCGGTCATTATACATCATAGAAGGTCCTTGTTTGTTCCAAATTATAGTAGAAAACATGCTGTCATTGTTGTTTTTGTAATATATTCTATAAAAGTGTCTTTTCATCATTTCTATTGTTATGTATGGCACTAATATACTGATTTTCAAACCAGACAGGAAAAATACGTCAATGAGTGTCCTAAAGACATTAAATGTACTATTATTTTATTAAATATTCAAAGACAAAAAAAGTTTTTTCTTATTCTTTTGTTGAATTCAGATCTACTAGTTTACAACGGTGAGTAACACCTCTAACTTCTTTTGAACTTTTTCATGTTTAATATAAATGATTGGATAGGATCATACTTACTTGTGACAAGGCACGTTGAAGTATTTATTCATGAGTGTTTTTGCACTTTAATTAGATTAGCCTAATATTTAGATCATCGAGAAATATGTCACCATGGCTAAATAAAATAAAATGACAACTAGTCAAACTTTCTTACGCTATTTGTACTCTTCTAAAGTAGCTGATTTAAGAAACATCACTATTATTTATCGTAAAAAAGTATTAATGTGTTTACTTTAAAAATAAAAAGTATTTTGTCAAACGTTTTTCCGGGATCTTTTCTGTTTTTATCAATTTCATCCACGCTCTTGCATCTTGTGGGAAAAAAATCAGAGATAAACAATAGCTGATCAGATTAAATATCCTCAAACATTATGGCTTTGCGACCGTTGCAGACATTGCTGAAAAGAAGAAATGGTTTCTGTAAGAAAATGGTCCAACGTGATTTTGAGCTCAAATCGTCTAGAATTATCAGAAATGCTTTACGCTGCACTTCAGCACCTGTCAAAACTTCTTCTGAAAAACTTCAGAGAGAAAACTCTTACAATTTTTTATTACTGCACGAGAGACCCACATCCACCCACCATCTCTAGTTCATAACTTCCAACTTCTTAGCAATAACTGACGCAGAGGAAGATAGAATATTTTGAGCTTCAAAATAAGCTAGAAAGAAGCTTTTTCAAAGTATGCTCATATAGAACGCACTGGCGGATCCAGTCTTATGGATGATATGGCTTAGTGGTTATGTTATTCGTCACATGCTACAAACATAATGTGTTCGAACCTCGGCGCCGCCAGGTCATGTAGAATAACTTTGGACAAGTTACTTATGTCTTCATGTTTCGGATCACCCATCCGATGGCATATTTACTACGTTGTGATGTACAATAAGGCTCCTCTGGCTAATCAGCGTAACTTTCCGGAAAGCTACCACGTGGTTAATGAGTGTGCATGGGGGGTACAAATAATTGAACGAAAGAACTCGACGTCAGGGCAGTCTTCTGGCCAGAGCTGTGGTTGATGACTAGTCCGAGAAGGGTAACCGTGTTAGAAGTTTGTCAACTACAGCGAAGATATATCGGTCTATTGAAACTCCTCTTCAGCAGCACCCCATATCGGAAACGGCAACCGCAAAGCGGAATATCCTTCCTTCTTAGCCCAACGAGCGAAGGCTTGTACCTTCGGAGCTAAAAAATGAGTTTTGCTCTGCAGAACTTTCTCACAAAATTGTGCTTCTATGGCGACTGCACATGCTTCACATTTTCCTTACCTACCGCATCTACCTAAAAAAATACTTAACGCGCCACTGGACTAAGTTTTCCGCAGTGATCAACAGAGTATTCCTAAAAAGCTACACAAACACTGACTTTTTAAAATGCTTTTTGTGTTTATTTGTGTATTTTTTGTTTCTCACCCTACACCAAAAACGGTAGCGGATCTAACTAGAAAAATCGAAAAACGTTTTCTGCATTATTTTCCAGCGGAATAAGTTGTAGAGAAGTAACGAGCACAGCCTACGAATGACGGGTCAGTACATATTTTACAATTCTCTTATTTCTTGAATGATCCATCGTACAGACCAGGAAGACATCTCACTTTGCAGACAACTGTTTTCTTTATCAGTAGTAAAAGTCACTGTGCTTCAAGAACCATCTGAAGGAGTGAAAATGTTATCAGTCATATCGTTGATCTCTTTTTTGATATGAAGAACTCGCAATACCGATGCAACACTGGTACTATATCGAGAAGATTCTTTGTATAAATAAAACGAATTATCATTATCATTGTCTATAATTCAATTATTACTATGCGCTATTTGGTGCAACATATTATCTCATAGAAGTCAAAAGTAAAAACAGTATGTTACAAATTTTGATTTTATCACTCTCTCGCATATGTTTAACGTAGAAACATTAACAAGTGAAGTCTTCGCTATTCTTTACAATGAAAAAATGTTCATTAAATGTCTTATTAGTGTGGCATTATTTGTTGTTTTATGTGAAAGTTTTGTGTTGAGTAAAAAATCCCAGTGTCCTATTAAATCATTTAACGGTGGAAAAGATTTTATCGTAAAAGGTGCAAAAATATTTGCTGATAAATCATTTCATCCGCATTTACAAACTATTGGTTTTATTGCCAGAGCATGTAAAGTCAAGGTTCGTGTTATGAATAGTTGGCTCCCACTGAGAACGCCTAATGGAATTATACCACCTCCAGAAATGCCACTGGTACTTGGTCGCGCCATTCGCGTCAACTTAGATGATCGAAAGGGTGCAAATATTTGCAATAATATTTGTATGAACCGAAATACTACTAGTGAATTACCCGCCGAAGTAAAATGTTTTATAGATAATATAAATCAGAACAGTACAATATTTCGAGAATTAAACATGCTTCACGATGGTTATGGAACTAATACACCTGAAGCAGAAGAATTAAAAGCCAAAATACAAATATTATGTACAGAAACAAAATAAAAATATAAATCCCATGTGTGTATATATTAGAAGAATGGTACGATTCTTAGCAAAGGAGAAATTTTTCATACATGAGACATCGATTTTCTTACAACAAAAGGTTTGCTAACATGGGACCTTAAAAGCTGAATCTATAGGTGTTAAGCGCATCAATTAATCCTATTGTAAAGACTTCAAATGTTCCACTGAGAAGAAATATGGTCAACAATTTTTCCCTAGCCTAATTTGGCCAGTTTTTTTATACTGTATTAATAATTGTTGAGAAGTACGTTTAAGATTTTCATGTGACAATTCTTGATCATGATCACTATGGCTGGTATTCTCTCCTCACATTGAATAAAGAAATGTTATGTAATGTTCTAATTGTAAAAGAATTAATCAATGGTAAGAAAATCAAGTTATAACAAAAAAATACACATACAATGACAAATGTCAGTTGTCGTTGGATATGTGTGGGATAAGAATTTCCTTACATCTAGCCCTTACCTTAGTCATTTCGGAATCCTGGCTCAGAAGGCTTACTTTTTTCTCCTTAAAAGTCAACTGAGGGGATTCAACATCATAGGAAAGCGTTCATTTCCTCACCTTCTGGGTTTACAGTGAGCGAAGGAGCAAAAAAGAGAACTGTGTCTGTTATATACATCTTTTACAAATTTTCGTTGATTGATATCCGTTGGAAATAAGAAAAGTCTTTTTCCATTGAGTAATATTACACGATGTAGGACAAAATTGAAATACACAAATTCAGTTGCGAATTTCCACCGACCGACTTTTATTTTATACCAGTTTATATTCGGAATAATGTGTTATTATTTCATATTTTTCCAAAAAATTTTGCTTGAAAGTATTATAATACATCGTCCTGCATCCTTTCATAAAGGTGGAATAAACACGTATGCTCTTGTGCTCTGACGTCTTGTCTTTCTTTTTGAATATCATACATTGGCTTGAAATGTGTTCCGCTGGCGCAGAAGGCGATTGTATTAAAATTC